GTGCTTCCTCAAGCTGTGGTGTTCTTACTTCTCGATGGCGACCACAATCGTGCGTTTTTTTGTTGAATGAACCATATTCTCGTAATCGTTGATGAAGTCGGGCAAATATTCTATGTGAAGGATGCTGCCGTTGAGGATACATTTCAGCATATCTTCTAGAAGCTGCGAACTGGTTTATTTTGGGCAAAAAATTCAAGAGACATTTTTTGTTTAGAATGAAACAGGCTATCGGAAATAAATTTTTAAATGGTAAACAAATAATAAGACAAAAAGTTACGTTGGAACGAAATTTTAGGGGTTGCGTTTTCCACCCCTTACAACCATGGGGTAAACCAAATAAATTACTGGCTGTCTTTTTGGTAGTAGAAAATGTCAGGTTAATTTCAATATTGTAACTTGTTTAGTGCTTGTGAAAAAAATTGTTAAACAAATTTTATGTACCCCCTTTAAGGGGCTGTATCTTAACAAGGGATGCTCCAATGAAGTTTCTTTATATGAAAGATCCTATCTTTTTTTCGATGAGGAATCACCCCCTTAAATGTTTTACACTTATTTAGTTGCACCCTGTATATTCAGTAAATAATTTTTTCAACCTCTAGTTAAGACGGATCTTTAAATTTTGAGACCCCTGAATATTTTTCTACTATTTTCGCAATAATGTCTGTCTGTGTGTCTCAGCCATGTTTTTTTTTTCAAAATATTTATATGAATATCTAAAAATAACTAATTTTTATTGCTCTATTTGTTTCAATTACTTTTTTAACAGAGTCTATTTTTGATCTCTGTTTATTTTATTAGAACATAAAATTTCATCGATTACCAACTTTTTAGTTTTAAATACAATGATCAATAGGTACTTATTTCCCATTAATATCTTTTTCACGTAAACTAACGGTATTTTAATACGTCATTACATATTTTTGGAATACCTTGTATATTATTTTGTAAGATCAAATTAGAAATTTTTAGAATTAATTCCACATAGTCTACGCGGTAGACAGCACTGATTCCAAATAAAAAAGGGTACAACATGTATCTTTATACGAAAATATAATTTTGATGTCTGACCATTAGCCTCGAAAACTATAAAATTTCTCTATTTTACATGATTCTTAATTTTAAAACGCAACATTTCTTATTTAATAGACCCGCATCCGTGCCAAATGATTAGCAAATATATATCTACCTAGATTCAAATTTTGAGGTCACTATCAGTTTTGTAACCTTTTTCTTCTTCGTTTTCTTCTTTATTTTTTGGTTGCGTTACTACGAGCAATTTATTTATTTATTGTTGGTAAATATATAATTAAACATTTTTGAACGATGAGAGCATATCATCAAATAGAAAATAATATTCAAAAAAATGTAATTAATTAATTCAATAAAAATTATTATTCACTTTGGATAATATCCCAGACTGATACGATGAAAGAAAACATTCATTAATTGTTAGGAAACTAGTATTTTTAATTGGTTTTTATTTAGCAATTACAATATATTTAATTTTCGCTAAACCGTAGTGACAGAATTTGAAATATTTCATTTAGATAAGTTTTTTTTTTAATTTATGACTCCGGCAAGCAGAAAAACGAGATATTTAAATTTTAAAACATTTCTGTAAGCAATAAGAACATTAAAGTTATGTTTCTACCTACTAAAAGATTATTAGTAATTTCTTTTAAAAATTGAGGTTAAACACTTGCTGATATGGAAAATTGTAATTGTCAGGATAATAACGGTATATCTATGTATGTAATACAAACATATTTTACAGAAACAAGTTAGTACATTCTTTTTTATACATGAATATCTCTATGTACAGTGCATTCGGGTATTTGTGACATAGATTTCTTCTTTTCTCAGAAAAAAACTGTAAATTTGTTAAAAGTAATAAAACAGCCTAAATTTCTGCTTCTAACCAATTATATTACTTACCTGTTCAATACACATAATGCTTTCATTGGAAAATACATATACATTTTTGGGAATTTGATTTTTTTTAAACAATGTCAGGTGTCACAATTACCCTACAAAAATCGCCGAGACACGTCGATATTTGATTTCTACATTGTACATTTTCGTATAAATAGTTTACCCTTAATTTCATCCCTTACTGGAGGGGAGCAACCCTTTCGAAAAATTTAAATGGTATGGGGTAGTGAGTGATAGCTCATTTGAAAGAGGGTTTTATTCTCTATTCAACCGTGTAAAAAAAATTGAAATTTGCTTCATTAATTCTCGACTAATTGTTGTTTCAGAATAACGGAAATTAACGTAGCGCACTCAGAGCTGGGCACGAGTACTGAATAAAATACTCGTAAATTTTACGAGTACGAGTACTCGAAAATTGTATTTATAAGTATTTTATTCGTAAGTACTTTTATAGAGATAGTTTACGGATACGAGTAGTAATCGTGAAAATACGAGTAAAGAATACGAGTAGTTTCACTTAATTAATCTAATAAATAAACTATAGAAAAAAACAAAGAAAAACCACTATAATTTTTAAATAAAAATAGTCTTTATTTACCTAAACAAAAACCAAAAAACAATTCTAAAATAAATAAATAAAGACTTTGTTTAGAATATAAATAAAACAAACATGGTCAACTTGACAGTGAAAAATTAAATACAGTTTTTTAAAACTGGTAATTTTTAACTTTGTAAAAACTCATCTTTTTGTTTCCCTACTTTATCGTTATCGTAAATCAATACTATTTCGAATACACCTTCACACGCTGAAACAGAAAGATGAGGTTTCTGTTATTTTTAAAAATATTTAAACTGTTTGTAATCGTCCCCATGTGTTTTTTTTTTAATTAATTTTTGACTGCACCCGAAGATGGAAACAAAACTTTTTATTTATATAAAATTCTGTTACGGTCAGGAAATTATCCTTATTCAAATTAACAAAGATTGTGTATGGAGACTATAGACGTTTAATATTTAAGCGTTCTCGTAGGAAACACATTCACACCACCACAAAACACCAAAAATAATAAAACGTAAAACGCCCAACGAATTGCTTTTCCCAATATTCCCAACCCAAATCAGAGACCGCAGCCCGAACGCAACCGAGGCCGTTTCGTGTCGTGATTCGTGATACTGGCGATCTATAGTAGCGACTGGCGGTTAACATGCGACGATCAAAAAATGCCGACTACTCGTAAAGTAATACTCGTATTTTACAAGTACATTCTACGAGTAGATTTAAATTTACTTGTAAGTACGAGTATTAAGTACTTCAAATAAAAAATACTTATAAGTAAAAATTACGAGTAGTTATTCTACTCGTAATCGAAATACGAGTAAAAGTATTCGAGTACTTGCCCAGCTCTGAGCGCACTCATCCTTAGAATTAAAATTCGGCCCTGCATGATTTCGGTTTTGGTTCAGACGTGAAGTAAGACTTTTTGCCATTAGAAGGTCATTGTTAGTCTAGTTGCTTTCCTATTTTGTGAGGTTTTGTTATTTTTAAACATTAATAAATCAACACGTAATGAAGCAAATTTCAAAAATTTTTGCAGGGTTGAATAGAGAATAAAACCCCCTTTCAAATGAGCTATCACTCACCACCCCATGCCATTTAAATTTTTCGAAAAGGTTGCTACCCTCCAGTAAGGGATGAAATTAAAGGTAAACTAATCATGCAAAAATGTACATTGTAGAAATTAAAAATCGACCTGTCTCGGCGATTTTTCTAACAAGACCCCAGTAACGAGTTAGTTAGGGGGGGTATGACTTATGATGCTCACTGTATATCCATAAAGCTTCCTAGTTTTAATTGAGACTTATTTTAATGGTCTAAATGTGAAATTAAAAAAATATTTCAAAATACTATTTGAATCTTTTATAAAAAAATTAGCACTAATTTGTGCATGAAACTAAAAAAAATCTGTGTCTTTTAACAAAATAAGTATTTTCACTACAAATAAGGAACACAATCATATTGCCTATATACAGGGTGAGTCGGGAGGAGCGCACCAAACTCTAGGAGTATATTATACACGTGAAAATAATGTAAAAAAACTCATATGTTCTTATCCGATTTTCATTTGTTTTCAAGTTATAGCATATTAACAAATAAATAAATTTACATATAAAAATTATCTTAATCATAGCGTTCTTTCAATAAATGTTCAAAAATAGACTTCTAAATTCGAAATTAAACGTTCAGTTACTGTTCACTGTTCATCAACACGTCAGAATTATCGAATGCCTTTGAGCCTTGAACATATGGCATACTTTGATAATGTTAAAATTCAGAAGTGGAAAGTTAGATGAACATTTTTAACTACGCCATATCTTGAAAACAAATGAAAATCGGATAAGAACATATGAGTTTTTTTACATTATTTGCACGTGTATAATATACTCCTAGAGTTTGGTGCGCTCACCCTGTATAAGAGTATATACATAAAACTAAAAAACATGTTTTATAACAAAATAAGTATTTGCTCTATAAATAAGAAACAAAATATTTATACCCAAGTACACAAAACTAAAAAACATCTTTGTTTTGTAACAAAAAGGACAAAATAATAAAAAAAGTTAATAAACATTAAGGCCATCAAACTTCACTGAAAAGATCTTTTTATTTCGTCTTCCCTCTGTGGGTTTTGGAAGTATAGTATATATAGCATAAGTGGACACACTATCTATATCTTCACAAATTGGCCAAACAAATACATTATTTCTCTTTTTTCGTAAAAACTTAACCAATAGCTTATCTTCTTCTGCAGAAACTTCCAATATAAGTCCAACATACCTTTTCGTAATTTTGGTTGTTTTATAATCAACTAGGGTCCAACTACTCTCCTTTACGTCATTAGGGTTTCTTTTCATAATTTAACTCCTCATGTTCATTTTCTACTAAATGATTGAGAGATAGAATTTCATCGGTGTCGCTACTGCTTGATATTTCGTATTCTATTTCTTCAACTTCGAAGGCCACCTGAATGGTTCTTATCTATATGTAAAATAAAAAAACTAGAACTAACCTTAAATGCTTTTCTGAATTTCTTCGACATTATGTGGTACAACAAAGGATTGACAGTCGTGGATATGAAGTATAGTAATCCAGAAATGTACATTAGATATAGATAAAAATCGGCGAATACATTTTGAATCTCTTCAGATGCGTTCGACAGGTAGACGGCGAGGAGTCTTTGAGCATGGAATGGGGCCCAACAAATGAAGAAAGCCGCCACGACTGCAACTGAAAAAGAAAAAGAAAGATTATTATCTCAATTTTACTTTTAAATTTTTTGTATACAAAGTATGTATAAGCTTGTATTTTTATATGGCTTGGCAACATTGCAAGAATATTTGTGTGGGGAGCCACCACTGAACTAAATATTAAACTGGAAGAACAAAGCCGATCAACAAAATCAAGCCGAATAGCGAGGTGATATTTGACACTTTGGCGCCCACATGTGCGTAACGAAATGCACTAAAAAGGATCATCAAAATTAAATTTAACACTTATTACATTCAACTATGACACCTTTTAATTTAAGAAAATCGCTTAAAAATGATTTTTGATTAATACGCAGCTGTAACAAAGGTTCCAATAATAATAATTGCACAAAGTACAACGTCAATGGAACAACCACATGCACCTACTAGAAATGTCATGTGTCAATATTGTCAGTCATAAATTTATCTTTAACCTTCAACGGTCATTTCAAATCTCTCCGCAGATCCCGCAATGAGTTTTTGTTTCCTGCAAACCTTGAACTAACTGTAATTTTGTTTAACAAAAGAAATTAAACAATAAATTCTGATACCACAAAAATGATAGCACATGTGCTTCAGCACTTATTTGCCTTCTACCTCCATGGTTATGGTTTTTCAGAAAATAGTTCTACTCCTCAAATCTTCCAATAAGGGTACTTGCCGTTTCTTTCGACAAGCGAAAATTTGCTTTGAACTAAAACAAAATAACGTTATAAAACATTATCTCTGGTTATATACTTTTGCTCATGTCAATAAATTTTGGTATCTAGCTATAGCTATCCCCTAACCTGCTGGTCGTTCATTTTTCTCATAACATCATTTATATAATTAATAATTTTTGGAATTGATGTTCTATTATGAACTAGTGCTTCAACAACTTCAAAATCGCTGCTGTCCGAAGATGAAGATGAAGATGATAATAAAGCGCAAATCGCCAATTTGCCATATCTACCAATCGCCGCCATTTTCTGCACTGCACTCAAAACCATATTTCGAGCTGGTGCCAAAATAGTTGCTCCGAGTGCAAAAATGAATGCACCAGTTGACCAATGGTACATACAACACTAAACCAGTGCGACCAATGGTACACAACGTCTTGCATTCGGTTTGCACTGGTGCTGCCAATGGTAAACGCTATTAGAATGCTCGAAATTGACAGTCTGGCGTCCAAATTGTCATGAGCACCGACCGTTTTTTTCACCCATGTCGGATTAGAAATTAGGAATAGGGTTTGTGTCATATAGCCATCCAGTCACATACTTTGATTTTCTTTTACTATACGGAGAATGGTCGCACTGCGCAGCTTTCTGAATGCCTTTTAAAAGGAGATAGAAAACTCCGCCATTTTGAACCCTTATTACGTGTTGCCTACATCTTGGCGCAATATTTTTAATAGGTGCGTTTTAATCATCCGCTGCTGCTTCGGAATTGTCGGTTTTCTTGTTTTAATCTGACAGGTTAAAACGGTTAAAATGACTAAACCGACAATTCCGGAAGCAGAAGCGGATGATTAAAACGCACCTGATATTTTGCTGACACATACAGCAAGTAAATATTATTTTTGAAGTTACAGTTTATTGCTAAAGAATCAGCTCACTCGGACCAGTTGAAAGTTCCAAAATAACATCCACTCCAGGGATACAAATTCAGGATACGCAGAAGACTGCTGTTTTATTATAGGCGGTTGTCATATATTGTATTATCCGAGTTGCATAGTGTATAAACTGAAACATTGAGATCAAAAGTGCCGACGCAGAGTGAGCGATCTGATTCTTTAGCTGTAAACTGTGTCACAGGGTTCAAAATGGCCGCGCCCTATATTGAGCGTGTCGGACCTCTCTCTTGCCTCGTATAGTAATCAAAGTATGTGCATCCAGTTTAATAACAAGATCGGTGGGAGCCACCGACTTTCATATCTTATGCATTATCTAGTTTTAAGAATTGAAGATTGTTGGACCCTCCACAATGCCTCAACATTAGTCCTAGTACGTACCTAACCTAAGAGTAAACGAGTTGGATTTGAATCAAATTTCTCGCTGAATTTTCCTACTTTGTTTAAAAGTATATTTATCAACCACATATCTAAGTAGGTACCTACAAAGTGGATAACATCCAATTAGGTAATGCAATCAAATTAAAATAAAAAAAGACTGTTTACAATTATTGACTGTTTACTATAATGTGGCATTGAAATTGCGTATGAAAGCATTTTACAAAGGCTAATACAATACGATGAATGAAACAAATACGCAGTTTTGAAAAGAGTGTAGGTTTATTAATTTTATCAATCAAGAGAAAACTGAATAAATGAACTGCTTCCTAGTTATCAGTAGGAAATTCGAGATACCAATTTCTGCTTATGTTTACGCCTTAGGCGTTATCAAAATACATCGTGTTTACTTATACAGGTTGATTTTTTTGGAAAATGCGCCTACCTTATGGGTAGATAGGGGACACCGAGGTGAATGCCCTAATTTCCATGTATAATCATAATAGGTAAAGTGCCATCCAGGAAGTTGCATGTTTTTACACTAACTATAAATATGGTGTTTCGAATATCTACAAATCATCTAAGTGAAATACACAGAAATTATGTTGGAGATGACAGCTGCTTCAAATACATTAATGTTATGTCACTGGATTGTGGTTATTCTGTCATTTCTAGGTTATATTACTTTGAAAATAAGTGGGATAATTTCATCAGCTTTTACTGTGTTTCAGAAGGATATATTGTGGGGTCTTATTTAAAGAAACAGAATATCTTAAAGAGTTCTTTATGTGCAACAGAATAAATATCTTTGATTAAAATTGACAGTATATGATTTAAACAAAACCGTAAATGAATCTACGTAGTACTATGCGGTTTACAGTGCAAGGTAAATACCTTTTAATCTAAAAGTATTGATATTGATGATGATATAGTTTAGCTGGTAAAGTATAGTATAAAAATATGTTTTATCCAATAGTTATTATTTTGTTTTGTAGGTATTCCTGTACCCTTAGATTATACAAACCTTAGATATAACATAAGACACTGCGCATAATCCCATTTCAAAATGATTCACACCCACCAATCACAGTTGAGAACATCACATGTCAGACCGTTATCCATCCAAATTTAATGTGTCAACGAGAATTAATTTGGTATTTTAGTGACTTAAATTTTGGAAATTAACGTTGAAAATGCCAAGATGTGTTGTAAAAAGCTTTATTTATAATAAACCTGTGAAATGTGACGGAGATAAAAGAAACTTATATTTATTTCGGTGAGATATTTAATTTTTAAAGATTCTGTCGACGTCCATATTTGTTGATTTGAAAATAAACAGAATCGGACTTGGTCATTGGTACATGTTATAAGTAGCAAATAAAGGTTATTATTATAAACTGTTTACTATTTCTTGTTTCATAGGGAATCTTTTTTAGGAAGTGAAAAGAGAAACATACAATCAAATACAAAAATATCAATTTCATTGCCAATTTATTCGTTTCAAACTTCACAACTGGTTTCAATAGTTTTCTCAAAACTATTTATTTAGTAATTATCTATAACAGTGTTACTCAAAGTGTAAAGCCAAAGTTTCCGCGAAGAAAATAATCACAATAAAAAAAACAGTACTATCGCAACAAAATGGAGGGACCTGGCTTGAGGACCGTTTTTTGGGAAGTAATTTTTTTAAGTCACTAACAGGAAGGAGGATATGATTTTGCTTTAGGACTTTTTTTAATTAATTTTTTATGGGTGAAATGGATTTGGGATAATTTTTGCAAGGAATCTTTGGAATAAATCAAAAATAAATGATGCTCTTGTGCATTTTCAGTCTGAGTTGCCGATTAAATTATTCGTAGATGCATCAAATGTGGGAATAAGGGCCATGATATGTCATGTTTTAAAAAAAAAAAAATATTGAAAAATGTATAGCTTCGGCTTGGCATACCTTATCAAAGTCCGAACAAAAATATTCCCAAATTGAAAGAAAGGTCCTTGCAATAATTTTTGGCTTAAATAAATTTAAAGAATATTTATATGGACATTTGCATAAAGTAGAACATTATGCAACTGATTACGAAAAGTTGATTATGTCACCAGTTACGAAATGAAAATAAATAAAACTGCCTCTTTTTTGGTTTCTAAGTTGAAAAATCGAAAAATCGTGAAATCGAGAAATTGAGAAATCGAAAAATCGAGTAATCGAAAAAACTAAAAATAAAAAATAGAAAAATCCAAAAAACGAAAAATCGAAAAAACCAAATATCGAAAAAGAGGCAATGAATAGTGACATTTCATATTTGAAAATATGACATTACGTTTAAAAACAAAAAAGAAAACAAAAAAAGAAAAGCTGTAAATTGCGTTTAATTTTTAAAATAACACCGTTATTGAAAACTGCCCAGAAATGTTGGGGGTAAAATTTTGACGTACTTCTTTAAGGATAATGGGTAAAAATGTTTTTTTTTCAAATTTCTCGCGGGTAATGTGAAAAATTAGATCGGCACCACTGCACATGTCCCTTATTTTTATTATTACTATTGAAAAAAAAAACGACATAGGGCAATCAAATACAACAATTTTCTAAAATATTTGATTGGAAGTACCTACACAAGAATGATAGTGAATCATTTTTCACCACAATTTTATAAATAATCAAGTCAAAATTAGAAAAAATCTTGTATATAAACACGTTACGAAATGCCGTTTTGTGTAAGTCGTTCATGTTGCATGAACTCGCTCCGCTCGTTTTGCAAATATTTACTCGTTACACAAAATAAGGCATTTCGTAACTGGTTACATAAATAACTATTAATTGACTTTCTAATATTTTAATTCATTGAACGGTATTTTCCGTAAATAATTAAATCATAAATAATTACCAGGATATAAGTACCAAAACATTTTTTTCTCTTAGAACAGTAGGCCTATGTCAAATAAACTTAAAATATTATAACGAACGAAAAGGTAACCCATTTCTAATAAAATTT